ATTCTCATTGAGAAGGTGAAGGCAGTGGGAGGCGGATACTTACTAATTCAGTAAGTCATCATGATGGGATAAGCGATGGCCTTCTGTTAATCTCTGACGTTGAAATATTTTGGGCGCTTTCTATAAAAATACTTTCTTTAGAGATGGTTGCTTCACTGCCATGCCATAGCTGGTAGCCTCTACCAAGAATTTAAATGGATAGGGGCAGAAAACCAAGCCTAGAGGTGTTCCTCTGGAATGGATTTGAGAAGTTTTTAGCAGGGTTGAGTGGGAAGGTAGCCCCAAGAGAGCATATCCTGTATGGCAGCAGTGCTGTGGAGAAATCCCAGTTTCCTGCACTGTCAGGTTTGCACCTGGAGGGTGGGGTGTAGAGCTGCTAAAAGTACTTGAGGCATGTCTACACTTCTGTTCTGCTGAGCCTAGGATTACTGCTGAGAAATAGATTTTGGCCACTTTAATTTTTTTCTGCACATGCCCAGGCCTGGCAATTGGAGTAGAAAATGTAGAAGGGTCCTACAGGAATACCTGAGCACTGCTTGGAGACTCTGTCATCTAAGCAGTGTACTCTGACTGCTTGCCATAACTGCTGGTTATGGATACATGCAGTGTGGGATCTAGTAGACAGGCCTTGTTCACTAGGGAGGTGGTGTAGATGTGGCCCTGGTGACCTCACTTAATCTTCAAAATCTAATAGAGGTAACTGTAATTTAAATTTGCTTTTACTGGAAGAAACCTAACGAGAGAGAGAGAGAGAGTGTGCGTGTGTGATCTCACTTAAGACTTATACAAGGGTAGGAAAGAATCTGAGACCTAAATGTGGTACTAAGTGTTGCTTACAGATTTAGATGGCAGAATAGAATTTTGTCAAGGAACTAAACATGTACATGTGGAATAGTGCAGCAGGCGGATTAGGATTTTGTCCTGACATAGATCATTAACTTTCATTTTATAGATGAGTGGTTGATTTTGTTCGAAGTCGTGTGAGATTAATGGGAAAGTTAAGAATAGAACCTGGTTCCTGGCTCCCAGTATGGTATTGTAACAACTAGCTAGACTTTGGTGAGAGAAAAAAATGAATGCTTGGGGAAACTACTGTAACTAAGCATCTCGGTGATTTCGATTTGCACACTGTAAAATTTCACAACCTGATGCTCATGCTTTCCTTTGTATCAGGCCAGAATTGCAGTAGTGGGATTTTTTTTTGCAGGTAACTGTTTGGACAACTACTGAAACAACAGATTTCTGGCAATAGCCAGTGCCAGTTTGTTTTTAAAAGGTATGAAAGCCCTGTTTCTGATTTGGGTTTTTAATAAATTAATATAAATAAGACCTTAAGGTAGTGGTTGAAACTATTGTAAATATGGACTAAGAAAGAGTACTAGTTAGTTTTTAACTGTTTTCAGTTAAATAGCCCTTTACACCTGCCAGAGCAGACTAATTCAAACTGACAATTTATGTTTGCTCTTTCTCTTGCTCTCTGTAAACATTTGGATTTATGTTCCTCAGTTCATAATTTTATTAATCCTGGTGGGTGTAGCAATTAATTGTTATTTCCCCCTTCTGGAAGGGCATTGGCTTGCATATCTGACTTATACGTTTCTTTTTTTAAAATCTTCTCCAGCCCTTGGATGGATAGGTATTGGAGAAGGGGGAAGGCTCTCTTTGCACAAGAGAGCAAATAGATGTTTACAAAGTGTTCTGTATTTATGCTTATGAAAAAAGTGTGATTAAAATTACTTTGTATATCATGCAGCCAAGAGTTGGGTGGGGTGGGGAGGGGAGGAAGAGTGTGAGGAATAAAGAGAATGGTGGTGAGTGACTGGGGAAACCACCTTGGTGACTCATTTCTCTTATTCAGTTGGCATTTAGCAGTTTAATTGTCCAGGAATTTTGAGTGATGTACAGCATTCAACTACCAAAGATGAGATTTGCCTAAGCACTTCATTTTGAACCAGTGCTGTTTCTTCTTAAATCAATGTGAGAAATATTCAGGTAATGTACAGTTCAGAAACTCTCTTATAGTGTATTATATAATATAATATTGGCTTCTAGTAGCTGAGGGAAAAGAAATGAGATGGTTTTCTTAGTATGATGGTTAAATCTTAACTCGTAATTAGTTTGACACAAGATTTGAATCAATAAACTTTGTCAGAAATTGGAGCTTTTGGCTACCCTTGGTTTTAAACTGTTTTTGTGCACTTAAAAAAAATGCATTTAAATCATAAATAACTTTTAATGAATATGATTGTTAATGGGCATCTTTATTGCTTTATTTCAGTTATGTAGCTTTTCTGAGAATACAGTGTTCTTATGAAAACCATGCATGACATGGAACTTGTTGGTACACAGTTAATGTCAGCAAGACTCAAAGTCTTGTCATGGTCCTGTGGCTCTTCGTGAAATAGAAGATTGCACTTAACTTCAGTTTTCACTAACATTGATATTCTGAACTGCTTGTGATTGCTGATATTTGGTCAGTGGCCATGCATGTAATTGTAAAACGGCAGTTGGCTTTTTGGGGATGCTTCTGATGGTATGGTTAAACCCTGAAAATTCAGACTTCTGTTTTAAAAAAAAAAAAAAATTGTTTTAAAATGGTTTTCTGTTCATGAATGTTTACTTTAACATTTTATGGGAGCAATTGCAGCAGAACGGTTATACAAAAAGAAGTGGTTATATTTTTATCTAGTATCATCTAAACTAATCACGACAAGTTAGACCTGGGCTTTCATTTGTGGGAAGTTCAGTGAAAAAATGTACAGCAGAGGTGTTAAAGAAAAAAAAAAAAAAAAAAAAAGAAGTTAGGAACTCTAAAGAGAAAATACTGAATACTCAAACACTGTGGAAAGAAATGGCCTTTGTGGAGAATATGGTATTTAATTCTTGCCCAGGGATTTAAGAATACATAAAGAAAATTATGATGATGTGAGGTTGGAAAAAATTAGACCACTTGGCTTCAGAGAAAAAATAACTAATGTGAGGGAACCTGATATGTATAACAAGATGAGTGGTATAAAAAAAAGACAAATATCAGTAGAAGAATCCATTCTGGTAATACTGTTGTAAGACTAATCAAATACAGATAAGTCAATATTTAAAACTGAAAAAACCCCCAAATTCCTAATCTGTTTGTACAAATCACTGCCACAAGATCATTTTGGCCTTTTGTAGGATTTTAAAAAGCATTGGAGGTTCGTGTCATCCAGATCTACTGTGATAATAAATAGGTTTTTTTATTGGCTAGGACCATATTTCAGGTCATCAGGAAATTTTTTTTTACAGATGAACTCTTTTGTAATTAAATATCAAGGGTTTTCTTGCATCTGGCTTGGGCCATGGCCGAAATAAATATGGGGTTAATTGGACTAGGTTATCCAGTAAAGGCCGCATTATGTATATCTAGCGGTCTTTCACTGCTTTTGTCTGCTTCATAATCTTGAAGAAATGAGTTGAAGCTATACAAGGCTGTAAGCTGAGCTGCATATCTCCCCCTTCCTAACTGAAGGAGATGGCGGAGAATGCTGATTAGATAAAATCATAGAAATTTAGGGTTGGAAGAGACCTTAGGAGGTCATCTAGTCCAACCTACTGCTCAAAGCAGGACCATCCCCAACTAGATCATCCCAGCCAGGGCTTTGTCGAGCCGGGCCTTAAAAACCTCTGAGGATGAAGAGTCCACCACCTCTCTAGGTAACCCATTGCAGTGCTTCACCACCCTCCTGGGAAGGGTGTTTTTTCTAATATTCAACCTAAACTTCCCTGGCTGCAACTAGAGACCATTTGCTTGTTCTGTCATCTACAGCCACTGAAAACAGTCTAGCTCAGGGGTGGGCAAAATGGTGAATCTCAAGATGATGGAGCTAGACCGGGGAGGGCAGAGCCCAAACTGTGGGCCAGACCGGCCATGCAGTTTACTCCATTTCCCAGCAGCCCCTGCCCACATAGCTCTGGCCGGTTTCCATAGAGACCCCAGGAGGGGCAGGGCCATGACAGTGTGGGGCTGGGGTTTCCACAGAGACTGACCCAAGCAGTGCTGGCAGGGTGCGCAGCTGGCCAGGGAGCTGCTCCGTGGCTGGGATTTTGCGCTGATGACTGTTGTCCAGAGCCGGGCAGAGCCATGGTCACCAACACGAAATCCTGCCCCCAGCCCTGGAGCAGTATCCTGCTCATCTTTGTGTCCTCTACCAGCACTGCTTGGGCTGGTCTCTGAAAACCCTGGGCCCCCAGTGCTGTCATGGCCCTGTCCCTCCTGGGATCTCCATGGAAACAGGCTGCAGTGACGCAGGCACGGGCTGCTGGGAAATGGAGTCTGCTGTGCGCCCACTCTTGCCTGCAGCAAGATTTGCCCTCCCCTGGTCTAATTCTATCATCTTTGGAACCACCCTTCAGGTAGTTGAAGGCTCTTATTAAATCCCCCCCGTCTTCTCTTCTGTAGGCTAAATTAGCCTTATAAGACAAGGTCGTAGTGCTCAACCTGCAGTCTTTAGATCAGATATGCGAACAGCTTGTTACTGACATGCGCTCACCGAGATGTCAGTGTGGCTGCTACTGCAGCTCTTCGTGCACAGCACACTCTCGGAGCTCGCCACCGGCCTGTTAGCATGGACTCTGGCCAGAGCCTCTGTATGGCTCCGGCACCCAGGGAATGAATACTGCCATCACTTATCCCTTCTTTTTCCCCCACTACTGGTTTCACCCCCTGGGCTCCAGAGCTGCGGTGAGGCATACCTTGTGTACATCTTGAAAGTAAAAGGCAAACCGCAATGCTTTTTTTGCTTTTTCTTTTACCAGCAATAGGATATTTTGCCTTTTAGGAAAAGCTTTGGTTATTTGTGTATTAAACTGAGAAATGACTGCTCATGCCTTTGTTATGCCTTAAGAAAGCTTTAAATCACAGATCATATATTCACTTTAAATTATACTTTAAATCACAGATCATACAACCAACGACCCTTACATTTTCTCTTCTTTTTTTTTTTTCCAGTAGCAGTCAGAAGAACTTAACTCTGGCAGAATTCCAGAGTTGAGACTCTTTGCAGGTATTTTGATAACTTAAATAAAGGATGTTTTTCAGTGTTCATATATTCACATTCACTGGCCATTTTAGTCTATGGTAGCACTTGTAATTCTTCAGATAACAGTTTGAACATAACAGCATATGCACAGCTGACACTTCAAAAACATACCTTTTTTAATGTTGCAAAACTACTTCCTGTATTGGAAATAGAATAATGTATGAGGACTCATTTGAACTACAAGTTTGGCTTTTCATACTAGGTGTATGTATGGGTGGATCCAGGATCATGGTTGGGGGTATGGCCACATCTTTGGGAGTGAGACGCATGCAGTGAAGAGCTCACTCTGTGGTATGTGCCATAGCTGACAGTCGCACCCCACACACTGCAGTCCTGGATGCTAGTGAGCTCAACGTTTCTCAGCTCAGTGTCTGTTGGAGTGGGCATCAGTTGGAATCCATGCTTTGGCATGGCCCTGGAGCCCTTTCCTTTTACCCTCCCTTCCCCCTGTCTCTCTTCTCCCCC